TCAGACTTCTCCTTGGCCAAGCAGCGTTTCCAATAGCAGGAGGCAAGAGCTGTCAGAGTGCAATGGGCACAGCACCCTCTGTTCGAGCCTGGTGTGGAAAATGCCTTGGATTCAGGGCCTTGGACTGGGTCAGGGCTGCTTTCAGAACAGCCTCTAGTTCAGGGGTTTGCTGCTCACTTTTGGGCACCACCAGCACATGGCTGGATCTGGGGGGTATTTGGGCCCTCTTTAGGAACACTGGTTCTGAGGTACAGCTGAGGAGGGATGTGAAAGAGGAAATTACATGGAGCTGATAATTCCTCTATATTTGGGCCCTCTTTGGGAACATTGTTTTCTGAGGTACAGCTGAGGAGGGATGTGAAAGAGGAAATTACATGGAGCTGATAATTCCTCTCATCATCCACAGTGCTTTGACAGTCTGTACCAGGGCAAGATCTAATATATGTTGTCCACACTTTGAGTCCTCAGTTGTTTTTTCTTTTAATTACAATACAACAACAAGGAAATAAACCCCTCCTTTAGAATGAAAAGCAACTGTACATCAAAATGGAAATGATTGGTGGCACGTGTTGAGAGCATGGGAAGCAGTGGGTGGAAGTCAAGCGTTTTGCCTGCAATTACACAGTTCAGAATGCTATTAGGGAGCTGTTTTACTTAAAATTTGTGGGGGTGAAGCTGCGCTCAGGGCACGTGAGAAACGGAACTCCACTCTGAAGCGTTTTCAAAACACTTGCATGTTTGTTTTTCCTTCGATGTTTACACAACTGCATCTTATGACTTGCTCATCCTAATCCAGTGAGTACCAGTCAGGAATTTGAGTGCTGTGTGGATGGGAGGTAGCTTTCTTCCATGGAGAGGATGTAAAGAAGACAGTTTGCTGGGAATGTGTAAGTGGATCTCTGTTTACCAGACAAGCCCACTCTGGGAGGAGGTCAGATACCTTAGAAAGTTGTTCAGTTTGTGGCCAGCTCCTGCACTGGATCTTTGCTGGGCAGAAAGTCAGTAAAGATGATGTGGGCCAGTTAAAAATATTGTCTGAGTCTGACTGGGTAGAATAACCCCCCAAAATTACAGCAAGCAAGTAGATCTTTGTGCCTTAAAATAAAATCTTCTTTTGCTGTGTTTTTGTAAGTCAGTAAGAGCTTTTCCATATAGGCTTTTTTTCCTCTTGTGTAATCGTGTGGTTGACCTTGAATGATTTTGCATGTGAGAAAAATGACTTATACATGGTTGTAGGCAGGACTAGAAGGGATTTGCCTGCCCAAAAAAAAAAAAATTCTGCAAGTGACATGCTGTACAATCCCATTTGTGCATCTATTGGGCTGTGTAAATTTGGATGTTTGCCATCTATTGAGGGGCAGTTTCAGAACCTTGCTCCTCGGATACATCAAATGTCTCATTTCCCCTCTAAATGTGGTAGCACTCAACCTTTTCCAGGTGACAGGATCCTCCTGTGAAAACAGGGGTGTTTAACCTGGATATCCTCTAAAATGTGATACATCTCCTCAGCACCTGTGTCAGAGAGGAAGCGGGCGGCAGGTCCCACTGCGGAATTCCACCCAGGAATCATTCAGGCCTTGAGGAAACATGGGAGAGCAAATGCTTACTGACCGTGTAATTAGCACGAGGACTTGCTCTGTCTGATGGCCCTTAGCACCATATTTCCTGTCTGAGCAGGGGAAAGCAAAAATATTAGTTGCTGTTTTACTAGAGGAACAAGTGTCTTCCAAATGAACAAATGATCTATTGCCAGTCCTGAAGACTCTTCCCATGGGAATAGGCATTTTGCTGCTTTTTCTAGCAGCTCCTTTCTTTCATACAGCAGGTTCCCAGACACATCAAATGCCTCGCATGTTGAGCTGCTGGTTAAGATTTATGGTCTCTGTGTTATCAGAGTGAATTAAACTGTGGCTGGCAGTCAGGCTTCTTCTCAGGCTCCTGTAAAAATGTAAACATAAATTAATAAATTAGGGTTTGATATTTAATGTCTTCCTCAAGCACAAGATGTTCCAAAGACCACTCTACAGAAGTTTCTTGCACTGCTGGGCAGCCAATAATCAGTCAATACTAATCCTTTGCTCGTTGAAAGAATAATACATAGGCACAGCTTTGGTGGGTCTTCTGGAGCCAGATGAAAGCTGCTGGAGTTTGTAGTGAAATTCAGTGGCTGTACATTACTTTGGTGTTAACAGAGCTCAGCTGGAGCCTTGAGAGGAAAACACAGACTTAGCAGTTTGAAGAAGAAACACTTTGTACATTAGTTTTTTAGTCTAGATCTTCATTACACAGTGGCAGAGTTGGAAGGAAGTGAGTGCTTTAATAATAAACTAGGTCATATGAGCCTTCATCCAGTGCTTTCATTTCTAGTTGTACGTATGTCATGGAAACTTCTTTGTGGTAGAATAAAGCATAGAGTTTAAAAGCAAAATTTGCTGTTTGAAATAATTCTTTTGGAATGGTCAAATGAGCTCTGTTAATGTTTCTGGAAATTTTCTTGAAATTGATTTGCTAATTTATGTTTAATTTTCTGGGACAGCTTGGGGTTGAATAGAATGTAATTTCTAAACGTGGGAATCAAGAACTGCATATGGAGGTGTAAGCAAATTGTTTGTTTGGGGGGAAATGGAGAAGGGAATCCCTGAGACTTGGCAGTTCCTCAAGCTCTGCAGCTTTTTACTAGCTGTGTGATAAACCAAAAGGAACTAACTTCTTTAAAATAAGGAAAGCTAGGCCTGCACTTCTTTTCCTCTTCTGTCCTTCATCACTCTCTGCGCTAAGTGTTGAATTCTTTAACCTTTAGTTAAATATGGTCTTATGAAAACCAAATCCCCCCCAAAAACCCAAACCATACAAAATTTCAATATTTACAGAATTTTTCAAGGGACTGATGAGGAAAGAGAGGAGGCTTTCAAGCCAGAAATGCTCTACAAGCTGCAGCCAAGAGGACTGGCCCATAGCTGACAGCCTGGCTCTGCTTTTATCGTCCCAGACAAAGGAAGGGACATTTCTCATTAAAGCCATTCAGGCAGCACTCTGGTTCCACATCACATCTGCTGCTGCTCTGAGACACCTCTGTTCTCTCACGTGGGACCACGAGATTGGTTAGACCTGGTAGCTAAGCTCAGCTCTGAGCTGCCCCAGACCAGCCGGGCTTAAGGGCTGATGCTTTGGCCGCTCGTGTGTGCTGCCCAGGTGCTTGCTGCCTTTCTCTGGGGCACATCTCACTCTTGCTTGGTTTCCAGGAATTACATTGTGCAAGGGGTTCATGGCTGTTACATAGCTCTGCACATTTGTGTAGCTCTGAATTACAGTGGAGCCCTGCAGTGGCTCCACAGCAGGTCCTGCAAAGCTTTAGTGCTGTGCACTGGGGTCAGTCATTCAGTCCTGGGGACCAGACACTGCTGTGAGCAAGTCTGGTAAAACCGAGTCTGCTTCACTGAGTCCTTCAGCACTCTGGTAAAACCGAGTCTGCTTCACTGAGTCCTTCAGCACTCTGGTAAAACCGAGTCTGCTTCACTGAGTCCTTCAGCACTCTGGTAAAACCGAGTCTGCTTCACTGAGTCCTTCAGCACTCTGGTAAAACCGAGTCTGCTTCACTGAGTCCTTCAGCAGTCTGGTAAAACTGAGTCTGCTTCACTGGAGTCCTTACAAGCCATGAAGCCGTGTCCCAAATGTCATTCCCTGCCTGCAGGTCACCCAGTGGGTGACTGCAGCCCAAGAGAGGTCTCAGGCTGAGTGAGTGTTTTGGTGGGACCATTTGCCATCTGGCTTGCCTGCCCCTTAATCTGAGGTCTTGGTGTGACAAAGCATTAAAGCACCCCTGCACCTGCTCACCATGTTCTGGATTGCCTGCCCCTTAATCTGAGGTCTTGGTGTGACAAAGCATTAAAGCACCTACGAGCTGGGATAATCCAGGTGGCTGTGCTGAAAGCCAGGCTGTCACCAGTGATGTGACAGCTGATGTGGTGCTGTGGTTTTTTGGTTTTTTCTTGTTGTTAGAGATTGCCTGCATTCTAATCTTCCTGCTTCTCTGGGCTTTAGAGTAATAATAATTTTTACTTATTTATTTTTTATGCTTTCTTTTCTCCCCCACAGATATGGTATTTCAGGATGCCCTTAAGTTCTCAAACTGTATTCACTTTATTTCCTTATACTGGAGACACAGTAGGATTTTAGTCTAGTGATGTCTGCACATGAATCTAAATTTTAATGACTGAGAGACCCTGCATAAAAATGACCAGATTGTGGTCTATAAGTACAGTGGAGTTTTTAGGTTCAGTTAAACTGTATTCTAAACAATACTTTGTTGTTGAAGCCTTACGGCCCTGCAGAAATAATTCTGCAATAGCAGAACAACCAGAAGAAAGAGATACAAAGTAATACAGTATTTGTATTTGCATAGGCTGTGATAGGACACTTATTTACCTGTGTTCTGTAGTAGTAAAAACTCTGATTTGTACTTCGTTGTTGCCTTTAATGTTTTGCAGTTTTTGGCATAATGTAAATGTGGTGAAATTTGAGGGTTTCATAGACCCTTTTCAAAAATGTATCTGAGTCTAGCAAAGGAACAGAGAAAAAAAATAGCAGAAAAGCAGTTTTTCTGTTATTGAAATCTCCCCAGAATAATGGTTTAAAAACCACAATAGATAAAAATTATGTTGCAGTATTTGTCTGGCTGCAGGATTTTAAGGGGGACAGGAACAAAGGGGCAAAAATGTCTGCATGACTACCCAAAAGGTGCGCTAGCCTCTCCCTTCTGAATTTCTCTGGAGGTTGGGAATTTGTGTGGAAAGCCTTGTGCAGCAGAGAAGCAGTTCTTCCTTGCATCTGGGAGGGTTAGAAGCTGGGTTTCCAAAAGCAGCTCAGTGTGTGATATCCCAGGATTGGCCCAAGTTTTGTGGAACTCTGGAATAACCCAAAACTTTGTCTGGAAACTGCAGCCAGAGGCCAAATTTGAGTATCTATATTGGGCTTCCCTGAGAGCTGTCCCTGCCTTCCTTGAGCACTTTGCTGTGTGTCACAGAGCCTGACAAGTTTGTGAGCAGCCTTGGAGGGGACAAGAGCTGGGCAGTCCTGGTGACACCTGCCACCTCTCCTGGCGAGGTAACACTTGGGGGACCACGTTGTGTCCCAAGGTGGTGGGATCTAACTGCTGCTGGAGGCTGGCTGAGAGTGGAAAGGGATAAATGAGCGGGATGGAGGGAAGGGATCTGTGAAAAGGTGTTTCATGGACAGAGCACCCAAGCAAAATTAGGACGGGGCAACAGAAGGAAAGGACCTCGAGCCTCTCTGGTGACAATGTGGTGGGAGAGCCTCTGGCAGCAGCAGAGTTTCTCTTCTCTACTCTCAGCTTCTCTATTCTCTTAGCTACTCTTTTTTAACTCATCCTTTACGTTGCAGTGATTGGCTGCTGGTACAGGAGAATGTCAGCATCAGTGGGATATTTCTCTACCTCAGGAATAATCACCTGGATCAGTTTAGGCAAGGAAGTGTGCAGAATGGGACCCCTTAGCAATGCCCAATTCGCAGGAGCCCGTGCAGGTTTGCCTCTCCATCAGAGGAGATAAACTGGGGGACAGAGCGAGGAGAAGCCGCTGTGTCTGGCCAGGCAGCTTCTCCAGAGTGGGATTCTTCCCTCGCAGCCAAGGCTCTCCCCAGAGGGTGGGAACCTCTCTGCCCCCTCCTGCTTGTTTCCCAAGCCAGGCAGACACCCGTGAGCCCCGACACATGGAGTTAGTTGGTGGTCTGCCCGCTGCCTTGCACATGGGGCTCCTCCCGGGGGTGCGCGCATGTGGTTTCCATCTCGGGGCTCTCAGGGCTTCTCACGGAGCCACAGCAGCCCCTCTGCACGCTGGGGCAGGGGCAGCCTCTCCCTCCCCTTGCCCGGCTGCACCCTGCCAGGCATGTTCACAAGAGGGTGCAGGGCATTTAGATTCTCCCTTTGAATGCTGCTCTCAGCTCTGACTGCTGAGCAGTTTTAATCTGCAGCATCTGGTCTGCAGTCTCCTGAGAGGGCTCTTGCACTGCCAGGCTGTTCTGACATCCCTTTAACATCTATATTGCTGAGCCTCTTTTTTTTTCTTCCTCTCTGAGGTGATGTGGTTCACTGGGCCAGGGTTTTGCCCTGTAGGTAACTTGAGAATATCACTTTGTTTGTCTTTGCCACCTTCCTTTCTGGTTGTGCATAGGATAAACCCATGCTTAATCCAATAGGAACAAAATATTCACTAAATATTAATTCATTAGGAGGTATCTTCTATCCTCCCATTACGTGGCAAGATGTCAGACAAATGTTCTTAAATCAGATTTAATCCTGGATTGGCCCTTGACAGAGGATGGCAGACCCTAAGAGAGGCATTGCTTTGCAGAACTTCTTTGAGTTCTTGGCTCATTTCAGTTTGTTGTCTGTCTGGTCCTGTTGGGGAATCTCTGCTCTCACTGCTCCTCTCTAAGAGATGAATAATGGTTTTTCTTCTCTCCCATCTGGGGCTGCTCACATCTGCCTTGACTTGCTGCTTGTTTATTGTGCAATGCCAATCGCTGCCTGTTCCTCATTGCACATCACCGAGGTAATTGCTCCATATAAAAATTATCTTTATGGGGAATGCCTCTCCATATGAGACACTTCAGCCCTGAGAAAAGGTTGGGCTTTCAGAACCAGACCTTGGAAAGCCTTGATGTGTAGCCTGGGTAATAGAAATTTTTGTGGTCTTAGTCAAGATGTCTTGGAGCTTTTGCCGCACTCTGAAACTGCAAATTTTTTTTTCTCTCCTTCCCCCCAGTCTTGCAGCTACATCTTGTTGCTTCTCTCTGGTTTTATGAATGGAATGTCATGATCTGCATCTGCATAAAGGTCCTTTCATTAGATGCTCCCTCTGCTCTTAAGACATTTACGGAGGTTAATTTGGGGAAAAAATTCTCTGCGATACATGACATTTTACTTCCATTATACTTCAGCTGTCCCAGATTTATGTGAAAAGCTTGCACAAAACATCTTATTTATAAGAATATGTGCACTCATCATTCACACAGACAAAACTATTACAATGTATTCTTTCTACAGGGGAAGATCTCTGGCCAGCCAGCCCAAATTACATCATGGGACTAAACATTTTGTATCAAAATCCAGAATTGACATAACTAATTTGCAACACTTCTTACGTGCTTTCCCAATCAACGTTACCAAAAAACCAGATGCACGGCTCAAATCACTGCTGACTTTGCCACTGTCTTCTGCCTTCACCTTAGGGTTTTTGGTAACACAGTTTCTGCCCAAACCTAGAAAGTCTTGCGGGAAATTGAACCAACTTTTTATTTTGGTTCTCTCAGCAGCGGTTTGCTCATCCTTTTTTAAACTTTTTTCTGTTCCCAACATGTTAACAGATGTAAATATGAATCATATTTCATTCTCAGACTCCTTTATAAAAATACACTCAGAACCAAAGTTTCTGAGTAATGAAAAACTCTGGATGCATCTCCAAACCACAATGAAACACCCTCTCCCCAAACGAGTCAAGGCTTGGCTTGCACACCTCTGTCTGAAGGGGAGAGGAGAAACCTTTTCAGTAGCATTGCTGTTTATTTTGCTGTTACAGAGCAGCAGCACTGACAAACTGGAGCATGTGTGCAGCTTTGTGGTCCTGTGTGTGTTGAGGTGTGTGGTTTCCTGCCCTCCTTATCTCCCCTGTCTGTTCTGGATGACTGATCAGCACTGCAGACATTTTTGTGGTTTTGATGGCTAAAATGAGCTGATGTTCCTTGTGTTCAGCCAGCCTCCTTCCCCTTTCTCTCCCAAGCACTTCAAGCAAGGTTCAGAATTAGGCTTTCTGAGCTTCTGCACCAGGAAAATCAGGGTATGTTAGTGGTCTGGGAGTTCATTTAGGCTGCAGAGTCTGCCATGAGTTAGCAGATCACCCATTGTGCAGGGCCTGGTGCTGGGAGCTGGGTGTGAGGCTTGTTTGAATGGTTGGAAGGAATCTTGCTGGCTTTGGGCTCTCTATAATGACCCCTAAGGCAAAACCCTTTTAAGCTCAGAAGAAGCCATTTGCTTTGCTTAATGATCTCGGGATGGATGGGCTGCATTCCATCCCAATAACTTCAGAGAGGCTGGGGTGTGAGTCTCACTCTGGGCTCCTGTTGGTTGCTCCGTGTTTAATTGTTCTGCAGCTGACCAGAACTCCTGGCACATTGCTAACATTCAGCCAATATCAGTCACCCCAGTGACTTCTGGCCATCTTTTGGGAATAGAGAGTTGCTGAGGTCTGCTTCCTGTGGGTGGTAGGAAGGAGCCACCCTCCTGGGCAGGAAGAGAGGATCCAGCTTACGTGGATGTGAGTTGTGCTGTGCGTTCATTCAGCCTGAGGAGAACAGGCCCAGCCTGCTCTATGTGGTGGCACAGGCACAGCCATTGATGCTCTCAATTGAATCTTTGTGTTCTGAATATTCTGCTCTGGGCTCTACATCCCCTTTTCCATGTCAGCATGGGGCATGGGCACCCCCGTTTAAGGGTTTGGATTTGATACTCTGAGCTGGCAAGCTTCAGTCTCACCTGCTGGAAATATCAGCTGCTTTGAACAGAAAACTCTTACAGTGGGCTTAATTAAGCATGGACTGTTTGACTTAACTGGGTTTTGATTGTAGTGGGTTATTTTTTCTGGCAACAAGCCAGTGTGACAGAGGTTGTTCTTTAAGTGTAAGTGTTCACTTTCATCCTCCCTCACCAATTCACAAGTGTCTTGCTATTGTGTGTGACCCTGCAGCACTGGAAGGTTCCTGCTTTCTCTGTGGGCTTTGCACAGGCTAAATGTGTGCCTTGTGTGCCCAGAGCTCCAGGAATCCAAGTCAATAGTGGGAACAAACCACAGTCATTGAGGCTGGGCTGTGCAGAAGCACTTCTGAGGTGAGGAACAAGCTATTTCCCCATAGTAACACAACCTAAGCCTTCAGTCTTTGTTTAGAACTGAACCTTTAATTGCACTGGGATTCAATGCAAACCCTTCCAGGAAGAAAAAGCTATTGCTATCACTTGACTGTAAAGGCTCTTGAGGGATTTCTAGTACATATATCTTAACCAAGAAAATACCCACCCTGCTTTCCAAGGCAGCTCCCTCCCCCAGGCTAAAAAACCTCTGCAACTCCCTCCCCTGAATTTGCACAGTCAGGAACGATGAAAAATGTTTTCTGCTTCATTATGCTCTTTGCATGGGCCAAGTAAATGCACAGATACTGTCTCTATCTATGAGATCAAGTTGTTTTTTTATTTAAAAAAAAGCAAGAGACGAGGCAATCAGCAATGATTCACTTCTGTGGGAAATGTGCTCCTTTGCTTATTTAGGGATTTAATGTAGCTTTGGAATAGGTGTGTCTGCAGAAAGAGGTAAGGTGATAGAGAGGTTTTAGTCCTAAAAACTTGGTTTTCTAGATGTGGGGGCCAGATGTGAGGTGTAGCCATGTCTGCTGGCAAAACAAACTGGACTAGAGCAAATGTGTCCTGCTGCTTTCCTTTTCATATCAAATCAGTGTTCTGAGAATGCCTAGGATATCCCAAGTTCTGTGTAATAAACTGAGTCACTTGAGGATTTTGCTGCTGTAACTGTAGAACATTGATATAGAAAGACTCTTGGAAGTGTTTGTTTTGTGCTTATGTGAACAAACAAGGAGGGGGAGTATGTGGTCAGCATGATGAGGAGGACTTGCAGAGAGAAGCCGAAATGAGTGTAGGCATGATCAAAGCTGTAGGCTGAACATGCTCCTTGAAAGCACTTTCCCAGTGTTTATGGGAAGTGTGTTTTGGACCCTGTGTTAATGGGAAGAGTGTTCAGCCCAGAGCCAGGTTAAAATCTGTCCTTATGCTAAATAAGAATCTGGAAGGGAGGTCACCATTACTGCTTTGCTTTTCTCAATTCATTTTTGAATGCATGTCACTGCAAAATTGTCATTTTCTAGCTATGCACTACAGTTGTTGTTGTGTTTTGTGGGGTTTTTTTTGTTTTTTGTTTTTTTTTTTTTTTTTTTTTTTTTTTTTTTTTTTTTTTTTTTTTCTTTTTTTTTTTTTTTTTTTTTTTTTTTTTTTTTTAATGTGTCTTTTTACAAGTGCAGGGGAT